AGATTAAGATGGATGAAGGTGGGTCTGAAACACGGACCAGGGCAAAGCTACAGGCTGCCCTGCTGGGAAGCAGCATTATATAGGTGGATTTTAAATTGCTGCTGTGTAGAAAGCCTTACAGACCTTACAGACACTCATGTCTACAACAGGAGGTGTGACCTCCATACTTCATGAGAAAAGAAATTTCTTTGAAAAGGTACCCAGATTCTTTACATGACAATGACCAATGTTCCAGACTAACAAAAGTATTCCATACCACAATATAATGCTAAAAGGCTCCATCATGAAACAACTATACTTCAGAAAGTACCCCTTTGTTCTACCTTTTTTTTTGTTACATCTGCTAGAAATAATGACTACAGAATCTCTTTCAACAAAAGGTCATTTATGTCAACGGACAGAACACAGAGGATCAGATCACCTGCTGTAATTGCAAATTAATGCTCTACTGCTAATGCATTAACTACACAATATTGATCTACAATTGAATCATACAGGCTTCTGTGAAGTGATTTTTACTTTAATATTTTTACGCTTTTATTGCTTTTTCCATAACACATTTTCTCTTTCTGCTGGAATTTTTTATAATTGTTTCCCATTTTAATTTCCTGCAGCAAGATGACTTTTAAAAATGTATGTCTCTTCCAAAGCCTTGCAAAAATCTAACAAACCATCAATGTGCCATGGTAAATCACAGACATGATGAAAAAGGTTAAAAAAAAATTCCAATATACATCTTATTTTGATACATTTAGGCTTTAAAAAAAGTTTACTTAAATTAAAAATAAAATACTTCAGCCTCATTGTAAGCCTGTAGTAATGACCTGTACCTCAGGTCATTAGAAAGATGCAGCTAGACATTTCTGGAGCTTTTGGTATGGAGTGAGTGCAGGATTATCTCCATAAATAAAACTGTGATTATTTTTTAATTTCATATCTGTACTGAAAAAGGATTGGTGGATTCAGGTATGTTAAAAAAAGTATAGTGCTATGGAATCAGCTGAAGAAGGATTGAAATGTTTCAGCATTTTTAATGAGAATTTAAAAAACAAGCGGGCTCTTTTTGCAATATCTCAGAAGTCCATACAGGGGAAGAATGCTCTTAAAATTGCTGTATGAAATTTTAATCCCAGCTACTTCTGATTACAACGATTCAGGTTTTTTTCTATACCTGCTGCAAACTTCCTTACACACAAGCCTTTCGCGAATAACAATGCTAAGATGTTGCTCTCCATCTTCTAAAGGAGTGGATAGAACATATTTTGAATACTGAAACTCTCTCCCCAAACCATTTTCTAATATACCTGCTTAATAGCACTTGAGGTGGTTATGGCATATAGCAAAATATGGCTTACCACCTGTCTCCTGACTTGCGTTCCTATGTACAATGATTTTGTAAATGGAAAATAAATCCCCATGTTTTAAAAATAAAAGCAATTGGAATTGGAAAAAATAATGGAGAACTGATTGTAGGTCAAATAGCTGCAGAGGAAAATCTGATCTTGCTTTTAATGGAAGAACATTTATTATTCATAAACCTTTCCTCTAACAGATATGCCATACTGCAATTAAATCAACTCACACAAAGCCTTCTTATTATCCTAGCCCATGAATGTCACCCTCCCATGGCAGAGAAGACACAGGTCTCTTGTTGAGCCACAGTGAAGGGAAGCCCAGTGGCCAAGCAAGTTCTGCTCTCCCAGGCTCTCTAGCTGGGCTCCATGGATGGATCAATATGGTCTGTGTTACTTAGCAGTTAGTATGAGACTGTGTTTAATACTGGATTATCTGACATTCCTTACCCTTTTAAAATGCTGCTAATGAGGAATTCTGTGTAACAGGGCGCTGATAACAGTGGCAGTATGCATTCCCAAGTTTTAAGCCCACTGCTTATTTGGCACAGCTGAGCACAGAGCTTGCTCCAGCACCACAAAAGCCCAGGCTGTTTGCTTTCTGCCTCTGGATTCATCATAAGGTGTCCTTGCGGTTTTGGAAACATGAAGTCAGATCACAAAATGTGCAGTATTATGTCAGTCCAAGTGTCTAATCAGAACCAAACAGTGACAGCAACAGTGTCCAAAGCAGATACCTGGGATCAAGTTATGGGACACATACATAATTCCTCCAATAGAGTCCCAGCTTCTAACTACCTAACTCAGGGACATGCTATGCATTGAATCTTTATTAGTGAATCATTCTGTAGATCCTTTTATTTGATGCTATCTACAAATTCTGTACTTGCTCTGTATTTTGGTACTGAGAAAGCAGAAGTGAACTGTCAAAGCTGTAGGCAGCAGAGATTGTGACTGCTGAAGAAACAACCTGAGCATTTGATACCAAGGATACATGAGAGAGATTGGAATTCAGGAAAGGATATATTAGCTGGCTATTCGTATGACTTTCTTAAGAAGAAAAACAATGGTAATGATTCTCATAATCCTAAAGAGGTTACAAAGATGACCTGTGAGGATGAGGCTGTCTTCTTCTGTCTATCACAATGTATCTTGTCTGAGAGACCCCTGGTGGCCTAGTGGTTAGCGTGCAGGACTTTCACTGCTGCGACCACGGGTTCGAATCCCCAGTCTCCTGGCCTGATGGAGGTCGTTAGCCCTGTGTGGCCATCCATCTATGAGAAGGTCACTCTAAACAAACCTACGTCCTGAGGACCTCACTGCCATTGTCCAAGCTTGCTTGGCCCCGGCAGATGAACCTTAGGATTAAAGGGTGGGCTCAGTCCAGCACAGGCTGTGTCTCACCTAAAAAATCCATTGCGCAGGCTGGAAAGGTAAAAGACCTTTCCCCAAATCTTCGTTCGCGAAGATGGGCCATTATTATCTTGTCTGAGAAGCAAATAAAAGTTTCAGTCTAATCGCAGTCAAGTGTATTTCTTCTAAGATTGGCTATAGAGATTACACATTTCCTTCTCCCTTCCATTTGTCCTTCCCAACATAAGGGAAAGACTTAGGGCCTGTACTCACAGTCTTGCACGAAGTTTACTAAAGGCTTATTCTAAAATAAATGCAATTGAACTAGTTCAGACCCTTACCTACACAGCCACTTTAGAATCCATTTATCTGAGATTAGTTTAAATGACTTCTCTACTTTAGTGAAACAGAAAGAAGCCACTCAAAGTGAGGATACTTCTGATCCCAAGGATTTTAAAATCAGTTCTAGAGATGATTTACGTTAAAATGGTGAAACCTAGGGACAAAAAAAGAGTTTTTTCACCATCTTGGGGAAAAATCTGTTGAAAAGAGAAATTGTTCTGTAAAGACTAAAAGATCAGTATAGATCCAAGTAATTTCTGTAAGCCAGTTTCAGAGAATTTGATTAATTTTAAAAAGAAAACAAGAATTAATGCTTTGTAAATCGAATCTTCTTTCTCTTGGGCACTGACTGGCACGTCTGCATTAAATTATATTTCAGTATTTCCCATTACCATTGGTGCAAATCGAAAAGACATAATAAAAAATAAACAGCTACGCAGTCTATTTAAAGAAAAAGTGCATGACATTAAAAACCTTGAGTTTTAGCCATTCAGAAAAAGATACAACAGATGTAAAACAGAGAAGCATTCCACTCTGTAGTTCACATCATGTAACATTGTTACAGACAAAGCCATCGAAACTGCAGCTCTATTACCAATAACAAACCAAATGTATCTAGATCACTAAAAACATTTCCTTGCCAATCCTATATTTTTTTGTAGACAAATGCTGCTCTGTACTTTGCACCATTACTTAGTATTTATACACAAGAAACTCTCAGATCATTGTGTAAGAAAAGTAGATCTTTTGTCTGTCCATGCAAAAATAGAGTTTGAAGCATTTTAATACAAACTTAAAAACAAAAAAAGGAAACAGTATTCATAAATCCAAAGAACATAGCAAGTCTACAAAAAAGCAGCAGTCTTCTACTTCAGCTCCCAGAGATGCTAATTTTGATGTGCATTAAAAAACCCAACCAAACCAAACACTGAGTTGGCTTTTTTTTTTTGTGAAACATAGCAAACAAATGACTAATCTCAGCAGTCACTGTAGCTGTGTAAAAAGGATGGTCACACTGAATCTAATTTCAATGTCAAAGTGAATTTTGGGAATGAAAACACTCCAGTCATCCCAGGGAGTGACACAAAGCCGATATTCACAGGATCCACAGTTGCTGTCATCTAGGGTGGGACCTACATATAAAGAGGCTTAACATCTACCAGAATGTAACAATATATAATGGAATAATATAAAAAAGACCACCTGCTCCTCAGCCATTCTAACATACATGCTGCAATGGTGCCCTGACATGCCTAGCAGAGCAGGTAAGGGGCTGATTTCCAGCCAATTTTCTGGTGCTCATAATACCATGCCACCAAGGCTTCCTTCCATGACAGGGACTAACTAACCATGCCAGTCTGGCCAGGACCTCAAAACAACCCATCAGCCTCCACTATTGTATGCAGTCTGACACCTCACTTCAATGCAATGCCAGCACCATATGCAAGAGATACAGCTCTACACTTCCTGTTTCAATAAACAAGCTTAAGGGACACAGATGCCTGGAGTTACTTTAAATGGGCTCCCTGTGAGACCAGAGTAGTACTATTTGAAAGCTCTCTCCCCTTGAGAAGGCTCTGTAGAAAAAAACCCTGAGAATAAAGAAAGAACAGGTAGCTCTAGCATAACTTTGTGTCAGCCTTGTTTGTATGACATGGGAGAGATGTTTAAATTTTAAATCCTGGAAGCCAGAGATAAAAAGTGGTAACAAACTCATGGCCAGCCTTTTCCCAGATTGGTATTGCAACACCCAAAGTTTTCTTTTGGCAACTCCTCCTCCTCCTCCTCCTCTATATGAAATGAATGTCTCTTAGCAAGAAGCATGAAGTTAAAAACATGAAAATTCCTTTCGATGGTAGAAAACCCCCCCTATTTGAATGTTTGAAAGGAAGATATATTGTGATCTTAATAACAGTTATTCCAACTTTAACGTTTCGAAGAAAGAAGAGGTACCTGTAAAACAGAAGCCCCACTGTGTAGAAACTGAAGCCCAGCTTCAGCAGAATCAATGCCTCCAGTTGCTAAGATGGGAAATCCTGGGAGAGCACGGGCTATGGCAGACACTGCGCGGAGGGCGATGGGCCTGATAGCATTTCCTACAGAAAACCAGAACATTTTGTTAGCAATGTCAGAACAGACACTGATGCAACTTGCACATCCCTCACGGTAGGAACACGAGGATCTAACATCTGAGGTGCAGAGGCTATATTCATTTATAAACTGAAACCAAGTGGGTTACAAGTGGTATCAATACTTGTAAAGCACTATGTATTCTGCTGAAATACAGAAAATAGCAGAAACATTTGGATGAACACTGCAAAGCTAGCTCAAACATTTTAGCTGATGCTCAAAACAAAGACTAACATGTCTGAGACAGAAAGCAATACTTTACCACACAGTACACTAGACAAAGAGATCTATGTTTCTACATGAAGAATCAGGTTGATTTTTTGAACATAGATAAACATGTTGTCCAAGTAAGAGTAAAAACCTCATTTATTTATGTCCAACTAAAAGTTGTTTAAAAGCACCATTTCACTGCACTTGAAATTTCATATTTTATTTGTTTCCCCTCTGGATGTTTGTAAATTCAGATAATCCTTTATGTAAGCCCCCTTTAACAATCAACATAATAAGTCAAAAGAATAAACTATATGCATTTATGGTAGTATCTCCAAGACTGGGGCTTGCATTTCAAATGGTTTATAGAGGTTGAGTCAGAAAACTCCCTGCTATATTTACAGGAATTATGATTAAAGCTCCAATACACTGTGTCTGCAATGTGTCTTCTTGGCTACGTCCTATTGATGGTATGCAAGTATTTAAAATACGGATGCTGCTTATGAAATGATGGATAGCATAGATAGCTGACACTTTCAGTTACTTTTTTTTTTGGCTAGTTGGGATTTCTGTAGAGAATATTAAAATTCCTACTTAATTTAATGAACCTTTAGGATAATTTGATGTCATCATTGAACAACAATACAGTACTGGAAGGGCAAGACATATCACCCCCAGAGGAACTGTCTGGCTGTGGCTGTCAGGTCTTTCCCCCCCTCCCTTGATACTATATTAGGCAACAGCAACTAAACTTTCACGTGCATAAATGGACAGCCAAACTCAAGATGCACCATTGGTGTGTTTTCATGAAAACTAGAGCCTGAGTAATAAAAATCTGAAATCTCACTAAAACTGCTTTAAAGAATCTAAGACCACAACAGAAAATATCACAAAAAAGGAGCTGGAGTTGAGCAGGAACTTTCCATAGGATACTAATGACTGTTTGCCATCATTTGAGCTAGATTGGTTGTAACATGTTCGAAAAGAACAGAATGATTCTGTGAAAGAGGATGATTGTTAAGTGTCCAAAGAGCAAATATTTTGACAGAATTAATAGTCCAGTCTTAGAAAAACACTTGAGAAAAAAAAAAAAAGAAAAATGGAAACCATGCTGTTTGGTCTGTTGGGTTTATTTATAAAGCTTTTTGGAAGGCATACAGGCCAAAACATACCCTACACAGCCAAAACCACTGAAAATAATCTCATAAAAAAACAGTAGTTCATGAAATTCTTCAAATATTCAGTGCTTGAAATTGAGGTTTGAAGTAAGCATCAGTCTTGCTGCATTGCTTTCAGCCAATGACACAGCTGCTCCAGAATCTCACTGTAATGAGGCAGTTGTTTTTTAGAAAGGTGAAACAATACAGGTACTAATAACTCTGAAATCATGCTGCTAGAGGGAAATTTCTTCCCAATCTGCTTGAGTTAAAACCTGACATCTGCCTTGAGGCATGAATGTTTATACTCTTTTAACCCCCATGTAACTTTTAGAATTTGCATTCAATCAGTTTTAAAGCCTTATAGACCCTTGACCTTAATAATATCTTGTAGTAAATACCTACACAAGAAGATATTTTCATAATATAATTGTTGCTTTCTTCAGTATTATTAAATTAGCCACCTTCTCACTTAAATGACTGTCTCTGTACAATGGCCAATAGAGGAAAAGGAGCAAATGTCAGTTTATTTAAGGTTTCAGCACAACAGGTAATCAGAAAGGTCTTCATTCAGCCCAAAGAAATCAAGCGTGTGATTTCATGAAGTCTAGCAGAGATGGCAATGAGACTTAGAATTTATTATGGAACATAGGTACTTTTTCGTACTAGCTGAACTTGATATTCATAATATGAGTTATTACTTACATTTGGTGATTAGTAAATTAGTGATAAATTGGTATGATTGCAAAAGTATTCCATTCATTTATAATTCACTCAAATGAATTTAAAAACATTTCAGGAGTGCTTTTGATGAGAGTAAATAAATGGCTGTAATGACAATCAGAGAGTTGACTAAGGTGTCACCATTCATCCTAGCTTTTTTTTTTTTTAATTAGTCTACAGCATACAAAACAAGCACAACATAAGGTGTAGCCATTCTCCCATACATTTTTTGATCAACAGTTCAGAAGCTTCCCCCTCTGTAACAAAAGCAGCTGGTCTAGAATACAATGTGATTTGCTTGTAATAGAGATCCTACTGTCTAGTGAAATGGTGAAACAACCTTTCAGATTAAAGCAAAAAAAAAAGAAAACAAACAATAGTGATGCCAAGCTATTAAAATAGGCAATTAAAAAAAAAGAAAGCAAATGAACACTTGATTTGACCTACAGTCTCTATTTTCTTGCATTTTTGTATGAGTACCATAGGAAGGTAATAAATTCCATTATAGAGATCTGTGGAGAAGGAGTTTTTAAAAGGCTGAAATAAAGGAGATTTAATCCCAAATTTTAAAGGACCTGTAAGTAGTACTGGGAATTTGCAGAATGTTGTCTGATAAATCCTATGGTATTTAAGAAGCTGAGGTCCAAATCCAGCATGCATTTGAAAGACAGCTCACATACTAAAAGATAAGCATCTACCACATACTTTGACATGTTGGGACCTGTAATTCCACTAGTTAAGCACCCGTAGCTGAGGAAACTGCTGATATGGTACTCTCTTAATAGAGGCATTACAGCTGCTACCAGATGCTAGATATGGCTATCATTTACCTTGCCGTAAAATAATGAGATTTAATAAACCAAGTCCATTTACCCAGATCTCAGGCACAGGAGTGAAATACAAAAATGAAAGAAAAATACCTCATGAAGATGACATGCTACTCTGCGTTGAAAACTACTCTTTCAAATCTCATGAATCATGGAAAAATATTTGCTACTATACAAAGCTATAAATAGTGAAATACTACATGATGTGAAAGTGCCTTACCTTTTTCTTGCCTTAAAACAAAGAGTTTTTGCTTTATTTTCTTTTCTTTTTAATAAAAAGTCAGATTTTTCAGAATATCAGAGACTGCAGTCAAAGCAATCCAATAGGCAAAACACAACATGAAGGAGAAGCAGAACATACATCAATCAAACGCCTCTCCCAGATCAGCACAGGTAGGCAGAGCTGCCCTTGTGATAAACTCATGAGAGATATTTTACCTGCTTACTTGTTTGACTGTTTATTTTTCCTTAGGAAGTAAGAAACCCTTTACCAATGCCAGAAGACACGTTTTATTATGACTTCATATGTCCTTGGAGTCCCCAGAGGACTCAGTCTTGTTAAACACCAAAAATGTTCACTATGTTGAGGCTTGAGAGCCAAACTTGATGCCTTCTTCAAGAAGCCTGGTTTTAAGCTTCAGGCAACCCAGTAGCTTTAGAAGTTCCCAGCAGAAACAATTCAGATCATCTTGATCCCAGTGATCCACCAATGGGAGAAAATAATTGTCTCAGAAATCTTGAATACTGGGCTACATTCTCACTTGCAATATATTGGACTAGTGTGATAGTTTAAAGTTTTCAACACATATATGCAGCAGCTCTCTAAATGGGGCCTTTGAGTAAAGATGATCCGGGTCCATTAAAAAACAGCTAACAGAACTGAAGTGAATCACTTCAGACTGATAATATGGAGCCTGAATCTTCAAACAATCCAAACAGTCTGAATGGTCTTTATCAAACTCTCCATCAAGAAGAGAAACAGATTTTAAAGGAAAGCAAACTCTCATACATTTGGATAGTAGATCACCTAAACCCACATTTTTGTATCTATGGTTACTAGATGGAATAAAAATGAATTTGGGTCATAATTCTCCCCATTCTGTGCATTGTAAAGTAAAATTATTTTTAATTCACATTATATAATATTACACTGCAGTTCTTTACAAAATTAATATGAGATTTGAACCAATGAGTCTAAATATTAAAAAAAAAATCTGATACATTATTTTTGATTAATAAATCACTGCTAAAATCTGTGCTGCTAAAAAAATATAAACATCCAAAATCCGAACAACATCACCTTTCCTCCCTCTGTAGATCCCCTCCTGGAAGAAAACTGACATGGTTATCGCCCTGACTGTTACAATTAATAAAGCTAATGACAAAAGAAGCCAATGACAGCAAACATCAAACTTGGGTAAAAAGCATTACAGAAAGAAAATGGTCTGGGAAAGTTCAGGCATTGTAGATGATCAATTCAATGCTTCAGGAAGTAACTAGTAAGAAAATTTGGGGATTTGGAAAAAAAACCCAGAAAACATAATTCTTTGTTAAGACATTTTCTGCATAATGTATATGCTGCCTAATACTGGTGATCAAAGTACTTTATATAACTGGTATTTGCAAACAGTCCAGGGAAACATGTAGGTTATACACAATCCACTTGCATCACATTCCTTCCGATTGCAATTAGTCCACACGTTCTTTCTCTCTCCCACCTGTAGGTGGCCACCATAAGCTACACTTATCAAATAACTCATTAGCAGGGTTTTCAATACTGTCATATCCAGATAATTAGCAATTTATTTAAATAACCAATTTCTGTGGAAATAATTGCCATGGAATGCCCTGAACCTACTTTTTATAAACTATAATAAAAGTGTTAAGATAATCCCTGACATTTGCAAATGCCATTAGTTCACCTTTCCTTTTGATAGTGCTATGGCATTATGTTTAAACAATTACCCGATAACGCGGCAGTTTAATGAAACAGTGTAGCAGACACATCCTTCAAAATGACCAGAGAACACATTAATATGCAGAAGAAAA